ATTCACAAACACTTCCAACGCTGCAATATTCCCATGATGATCTGAAACAGAAATAAAAACAAAATTATGAATATCATTGTTGTAAGAAAAAATTATTATAATTATTAAGAAAGCGTTTAAAATAAAAATTGACTTACGTTTATTCCTCAGTGATGAATGCACGATGGGTGTCCTACCCTTAAGATGACGATGAGCACACATTTAAAAAGAATAAAAGAAACTTATGGAGTTTCTTTACCCGAGCAAACGAAACTTTTTTAACATGCGACGATCAACACTGATTCTACTTTCCGATTCTTTTATTTTTTAATTTAACGATGCAACACACGAGTACTTCATTGCCTACGCGCTCGATTGCAATGATGTTCTGAAACAGAAAAATAAAAAAAACAATTAATATCATCGCTATAATAAAACACCATTGAGTTTATCATAGAAATGTTTAATAAAAAAATATACTTACTTTTAGTCTTCGTTGATGACTGCAGGATGGGTTTCCTACCCTTAGGATGACGATGAATAAAATAAAATAAAATAAAAAAATCTGTAAAGCTGAAACATACTAAAGATTATATTATAGTACAATATTCCCTGTTAATCATTCCTGAAGGCATTTAACACACTTTAAAAAATATTCTATCATAAAGAATCAATGTTAGATATAAAAAGTTTTCTAATCAGCGCAGTTGTCAAATATTTTAATTAGATAACGTTAGAAATAAAAATTTTAAATAGTTTAATATATGTCACGTTCACGTTAGATCTTAACTCTTTGGAGGGCGGAAGGGGAATGAGATACGTTACTGCTTATCCTTCGTCCAACGTTCGGCTGTTTACGTTTTGTTTCGGCTGTCTGTCTTCTGTTTTCACCTCAAGAAATGCCTACAAATATACATACACATGCATAATTGCCTGTAGGTTGAATGTTTTGTTTTCTTATTCTCTCTCTCTCTCTCTCTCTCTCTCTCTCTCTCACTCTCCTTCTCACTCTTTCTATGTAGCTTAAAAAAAGAATAACGCTTACCTCGATGAATATGAAGATAAAAAAGTATAAACACAAATGTTTTACTGAGTATATGTATTCGTTCTGGACTCTTCAATGCTCTCGAATGCTAAAAATATTTAAAAAAATAAAATTACATTAGTACAATATAAAAGAAAATCAAATATATGAGTG